GCTTGAATCGTTGCGAGGAAAAAGCAGGTAGTTTTCATATGTCTAGATGTCAACAAGCTGTAATAATTGAATTGGATGAAGACTATTTGGCCCAGTGTACTCATTGCCGATATGCCTTTTGTAAAAAATGCAGCGAAACATTTCACTCCCAAACAATGTGTCCCAAAGACTAGATAATTGAACAATTAAAACGAAAAAAACAGGAACAATTAGACCGTGTACGAGAACAGCATGTTCAACAAGAGGCAAAACAAGCTCAAGCAGCTTCGCGGAAAGTAATGACCGTCCCAGCTAAAAAGCCTCAAAAATATCTCGAACTCTCATTGACACAAGCTGAAGAAGATTTGTTACTACAAGAAATATTGACAGCCGAGCGAATGGACCTTCTCAATACTCAACCGTGTCCTGGATGTCATGTCCGTATTGAGAAAAATGGCGGTTGTACACACATGCACTGCTCGAGATGTGATCTTCATTTTACGTGGAATACTAGTTTACAAATAATGCAACCGAGAGGAGGTGTTTTCCGCACGAAATCAACAACAGACTTTCTCGAAACTGATACAATTAAGCAGCAATTAGAACATCGACCAGTGTTAAAAGTTGATGAGTCTTCTGCAGCAGCTGAAGAGCAAGAGGAATCTAAATTTGTTATTAATAATCAGACGGTTGTTGGTGCAATCATGTTTAATCGAATGAGAAAATGCCCGAGTAAAATTTGCAAAAATATTAATGTTAAAATAGGCCACGATAATTGGGGTGAATGTAGTGCATACTCAAGACAATTTTGTTTTCTATGTGGCAAACAGGTGAATGGCCAACGACATTTTGAGAAGAACTGTCAGCGTTATATGCCTATTCAGTAATATTTTATTCCAGTAACGTCTAATTTTGTTTAAGCGGCCTATTTCATTAAACTATAAAACGTTTATTTTTTTTCACATTCATTTATATATCCTAATTAAAGTTGAATTTTTTCCACGCTTCTGATTTATTTAATACCCCGACTGGGACAAGTACAACATGAAACTGCAACAAATGTTATCAGACAACCTATTTAAATCGCTGTCAACATTCGTTAATAACCAACAGTAATTAAATATTCTCAGAGGATCGTACATGTCCTTTTTTCTAGTTCTTGGAGTGATACTCCTACTTCTCTTACTTCAATGGAGTGATACTCTTACTTCAATGAAAAATATGTCAGATAGTGACAAGTTGTCAAATTTTAGAGCTTTTAACGACGACGTTGCTTAACAGTTTTGGGGATAGCTTTTACTGACTCTGATCTTCACTATCGCTAACTGAGAGACCTAACTTGTAGATCGTGGAGGGCTGCGCGATTATAATTACAAAATGTAAAGTTCATACATTGCTATTATCTGTAGAATTTAGAATTCTAGAATTCTGAACTTTACATACATGTAAAGTTGCATATTCACGCTCACCCTTACACTCACCCCCACACTCGTCGCTAGAATTAAGGATTTTAGAATTCTGAACAAGTAAAGTTCAACTTTACATACATGTAAAGTTCAGAATTCTAGAATTCTTAATTCTACAGATAATGGCAATGTATGAACTTTACATTTTG